GCTGAGGCTGAGGCAGGCTGAGGCTGAGGCAGGCTGAGGCCGAGGCTGAAGGCAGACTGGGGCTGAGGCTGAAGCAGGCTGATGCCGAGGCAGGCTGAGGCTGAGGCTGAGGCTGATGCAGGTTGAGGCTGAGGCAGGCTGAGGCTGAGGCCGAGGCTGAAGGCAGACTGAGGCTGGCGCTGAAGCAGCCTGAGGCTGAGGCTGAGGCACGCTGACGTTGAGGCTGAGGCAGGCTGATGCTGAGGCATGCTGAGGCTGAGGCTGAGGCCGATGCAGGCTGAGGCTGAGGCAGGCCGAGGCTGAGGCTGAGGCTGAAGGCATACTGAGGCTGAGGCTGAAGCAGGCTGAGGCTGAGGCTGAGGCAGGGTGAGGCTGAGGCTGAGGCAGGCTGATGCTGAGACAGGCTGAGGCTGAGGCTGAGGCTGATGCAGGCTGCGGCGGAGGCAGGTTGAGGCTGAGGCCGAGGCTGAAGGCATATTGGGGGTGAGGCTGAAGCAGGCTGAGGCTGAGGCTGAGGCAGGCTGAGGCCGAGGTCGACGGCAGGCTGAGGCTGAGGCAGGCTGTGGCTGAGGCTGAGGCTAATGCAGGGTGAGGCTGAGGCAGGCTGAGGCTGAGGCCGAGGTTGAAGACAGACTGATGCTGAGGCTGAAGCAGGCTGAGGCAGGCTGAGGCTGAGGCTGAGGCCGAGGCAGGCTGTGGCTGAGGCCGAGGCAAACCGAGGCAGGCTGAGGCTGAGGCTGAGGCTGAGGCTGAGGCAGGCTGAGGCTGAGGCTGAGGCAGGCTGATGCTGAGGCAGGCTGGGGCTGAGGCTGAGGCTCATGCAGGGTGAGGCTGAGGCAGGCTGAGGCTGAGGCCGAGGCTGAAGGCAGACTGATGCTGAGACTGAAGCAGGCTGAGGCTGAGGCTGAGGCAAGCTGAGGCTGAGGCTGAGGCAGGCTGATGCTGAGGCTGAGGCTGAGGCCGAGGCCGAGGCCGAGGCAAAGGCAGGCTCAGGCTGAGGCAGGCTGAGGCTGAGGCCGAGGCTGCAGGCGGACTGAGGCTGAGGCTAAAGCAGACTGAGGCTGAGGCTGAGGCAGGCTGAGGCTGAGGCTGAGGCTGAGGCAGGCTGATGCTGAGGCAGGCTGAGGCTGAGGCTGATGCAGGCTGAGGCAGGCTGAGGCTGAGGCCGAGGTCGACGGCAGACTGAGGCTGAGGCTGAAGCAGGCTGAGGCTGAGGCAGAGGCAGGCTGAGGCTGAGGCAGGCTGAGGCTGAGGCTGAGGCAGGCTGAGGCTGAGGCTGAGTCTGATGCAGGGTGAGGCTGAGGCAGGCTGAGGCTGAGGCCGAGGCTGAAGGCAGACTGATGCTGAGGCTGAAGCAGGCTGAGGCTGAGGCTGAAGCAGGCTGAGGCTGAGGGCTGAGGCTGAGGCAGGCTGAGGCTGAGGCTGTGACTGCGACTGCCGTTGCCACTGCGACTGTCATCGCGAATGCGACTACGACTGCGAGAACAGCAGAATTCTACAACTGGATTCTCATCAGAATCTTAAGGGGAATGCTTCCAGATATGCTCCTACACATCGCTGTCAGGTTGCTTTGTCGGGATAATTCCCTAACAGCGAAGACTGATAGGTTTCTAGTGGTTTCGAAAAAGAGCATCATGACTCCCCAGGGGGGTCTGGGCTGATGCCGGACGGGTGCCGCGGGAATCCGGGGACTCCCCATTTTCACTGCCAGAGCCACATTTTGATTGCCCGGAGCCAACAGAACACCACTCCCAGGCACCATTTTGAATGCCCGGAGCCAACTTTCGGCCACTTCGTGTTCTTCGCGCTCCCAGAACACCATTCCCAGGCCACATTTTGAATGCCCAGAGCCAGCTGTACGCCACTCCGTGTTCTTCGTGTTCCCAGAGCACCGTTCCCAGGCCACATTTTGAATGGCCGGAGCCAACTGTAGGCCGCTTCGTGTTCTTCGTGTTCCCAGAACACCATTCACAGGCCACATTTTGAATGCCCAGAGCCAACTGTAGGCCACTTCGTGTTCTTCGTGCTCTCAGAACACCATTCCCAGGCCACATATTGATTGCCCGGAGCCTACTGTGGGCCACTTCGTGATCTCCGTGTTCCCAGAACACCAGTCCTGTGCCATATTTTGAATGCCCGAGCTGAGGCAGCCTGAGGCCGAGGCAGGCTGAGGCTGAGGCTGAGGCACGCCGAGGCAGGCTGAGGCTGAGGCTGAGGCAGGCTGAGGCTGACGCAGGCTGAGGCTGAGGCTGACGCAGGCTGAGGCCGAGGCAGGCTGAGGCTGAGGCTGAGGCAGCCTGAGGCGGGCTGAGGCTGAGGCTGAGGCAGGCTGAGGCTGAGGCCGAGGCAGGCTGAGGCTGAGGCCGAGGCAAGCCGAGGCAGGCTGAGGCTGAGGCTGAGGCTAAGGCTGATGCTGAGGCAGGCTGAGGCTAAGACAGGCCGAGGCTGAGGCTGAGGCAGGCTGAGGCTGAGGCAGGCTGAGGCTGAGGCCGAGGCAGGCTCAGGCCGAGACAGGCTGAGGCTGAGACTGAGGCTGAGGCTGAGGATGAGGCCGAGGCAGGCCGAAGCTGAGACAAGGTGAGGCTGAATGGGGGGGGGGGATTGGGGGGGGGAGGAGGGGAGACTGAGGCAGGCTGAGGCCGAGGCAGGCTGAGGCCGAGGCAGGTTGAGGCTGAGGCTGAGGCAAGCCGAGGCAGGCTGAGGCTGAGGCTGAGGCTGAGGCTGAGGCTGAGGCTGAGGCAGGCTGAGGCTGAGGCAGGCTGAGGCTGGCTGAGGAGGCTGAGGCTGAGGCTGAGGCTGAGGCTGAGGCTGAGGCTGAGGCTGAGGCCGAGGCAGGCTCTGAGGCTGAGGCTGAGGCAGGCTGAGGCTGAGGCTGAGGCTGAGGCTGAGGCTGAGGCAGGCTGAGGCTGAGGCTGAGGCAGGCTGAGGCTGAGGCCGAGGCAGGCTGAGGCTGAGGCTGAGGCAAGCCGAGGCAGGCTGAGGCTGAGGCTGAAACTGAGGCAGGTTGAGGCATCCGTAGGAATCCATAGGAATCCTTAGGAATCCCTAGGAATCCGTAGGCATCCTTAGGAATCTGTAGGCATAGTTTAGCATCCTCAGGAATCCTTAGGTTTCCTAATGATTCCTAAGGATTCCTAAGGATGCCTAAGGATGCCTTAGGAATCCTTAGGATTCCTTAGGATTCCATTGGATCCTAAGGCCGTTGCCACTGCGACTGTCATTGCGAATGCGACTGCGACTGCGAGAACAGCAGAATTCTACAACTGGATTCTCACCTGAATCTTAAGGGGAATGCTTCCAGATATGCTGATACACATCGCTGTCAGGTTGCTTTGCCAGGATAATTCTTGGGAGAGGATGATGATGTTGATGATGATGATGATGCTGATGATGATGATGGTGATGATGATGATGATGATGATGATGCTGCTGATGATGATGATGATGATGATGATGATGATGATGATGCTGATGATGATGATGATGATGATGATGATGGTGGTGATGATGATGATGCTGATGATGCTGCTGCTGATGATGATGATGATGATGATGATGCTGCTGATGATGATGATAGTGATAGTGATAGTGATGATGATAGTGATGATGATGATGCTGATTGTGATGATGCTGGTGATGGTGATGATGATGCTGATGGTGAGTATGATGATGATGATGACGACGATGAGGATGATGATGCTGACGATGACGATGCTGATGTTGATGCTGATAATCATGATGATGTTGATTATGATGATGATGATTATGATGATGATGCTGCTGATGATGATGATGGTGATGATGAAGATGATGATGATGATGATGATGATGATGATGTGGTGGTGGTGGTGATGGTGATGATGATGATGCTGCTGCTGATGATGATGCGATGATGATGATGATGATGATGATGATGATGATGATGATGATGATGATGATGATGATGATGATGATGATGATGATGAGTAGGAGGAGGAGGAGGAGGAGGAGGAGGAGGAGGAGGAGGAGGCGGGGGGGGGGAGGAGGAAGAGGAGGAGGAGGAGGAGGAGGAGGAGGAGGAGAGGAGGACGAGGACGAGGACGAGGGCGAGGAGGAGGAGGAGGAGGAGGAGGAGGAGGAGGAGGAGGAGGAGGAGGAGGAGGAGGAGGAGAGGAGGGGGAGGAGGAGGAGGAGGAGGAGGAGGAGGAGGAGGAGGAGGAAGAGGAGGAGGCGGAGGAGGATAAGAGGGAGAAAAGGAGGGATAGGAGGAGCAGGAATATGAGGAGGAGGAGCGAAGAGGAGGAGGAGGAGGAGGAGGAGGAGGAGGAGGAGGCCGAGGAGGAGGAGGAGGACGAATGAGGAAGCGTCGGGTGGTTTTTGGGTGGAGGAGGAGGAGGCGCAGGAGGAGGGAGAGATGAATCAGGTCATGGGGTTTGGGGGAGGAGGAGGTGGAGATAGAGGCGGAGAAAGGAGAGGAGGAGGAGGAGGAGGAGGAGGAGGAGGAGGAGGAGGAGGAGGGGGAGGAGGAAGAGCAGGTGTGGGAGGGGAATGAGGGGATGCAGTTGTTGACAACGGCGGCTGCAGTTGGGGCGCCTCCCCTCCCCGCGATCCGGAGGTGTACTCCAAGTTCTTCGCGCTCGCCCCCGCTGGCCAGGACCGCGGTTGCCGAGTGCCTTCCACGCACCCCTTTGGTCACCATGATTATGATCATCATTACCATCACCGTCATCGTCATCATTCTCACCATCGTCATCACCATCATCATCATACCATCACCATCAGCATCATCATCACAGCATCATGAGCACTATGATTATCACCTTCATCATCACCTTCATCGTCGCCACTACCACCGCCACCACCACTATCACCATCATCCTTACCATCACCCTTCGTGCTCGTGCTCGTGCTCATCGTCGTCGTCGTCGCCATCGTGCTCCGTTGCCACGCGCCCGAGGCGTGGAACACGTGGGGTCTCCGCGACGTCGACCCCCTTGGCGGACCCAGCTGTGCAGCGTCTTGCCCTCTGGGGTGCGGAGTTGCCGCCTGGAGCCCACCGCGAACCGCGGCGCCGCAGACTCTCCGAGGCCCCCTCGCTTCCTTGCCCTTCGACGCTCCCCTGCCTTGTCTTTGTCGCTGGCCTCGTTTGTCCTGCATCGAGTGGGGCGGCTGTGCCCGCGCCCTGTCGATCCCCCCGTGCACGCGGTGCACGGGCAGCGCGTGCCCCGCCGGGTGACACATTTTTTGCGTGCCTCTGTTTGTTCGTGTGCGCGTTTCGGCGCATGCTTCCGTGCTTCACTTTGACTCAGACCAGCGCGACGCAGAGCGCACGCCCACCGAGGAAAACGTGTGTGTGTGTTTGTGTGTGTGCGCGTTCTTTATAGATCGTCGTTGAAATATTCCATATATTGGTATACAAGATTGAATTGGCGCTTTGCGCCATGCGCCTTGTTCCGGGCGCTTCCCTGGCAACGCAGTAGTGAATCATCGATTGCTTCAGCAGGGGGGACCTCGAGGCCTGGACGGGCGATCGGCTCATTTTTCTGATATCCCTGGTGCCTGCTGACACCGCGTTTGCCCGCTGCGCTTGCACGCTTGTGCGAAGGAGTGGGGGAGGAATGATGTTTTTTTCACGCCAGATGGTGCTGGCAAACGACGAAGCATCAGACTGTTGCGATGGCACCTGTCCATGAACGGGGAACGGGAATGGAGCAGGGATGAGGTGAACGGGGAACGGGAATCGAACAGGGATGAGGGGGCGCTGAAGAGGGGGAAGGGGGGAGGAGGGGGAAGAAGCGGGGATAAGGTCCAGCGGAACGAGCGGGCGAATGAGGACGGCCGTCGGATGCCACGAACGCGGATGTCGACGAAAAAAGCAGAGGGAGGAAAGGAAAAATAGAGAGAGAGAGAGACAAACAAACAAAGAACAATCCATAGAGAACAACATAAAACAACGGTATATATAGAGAGATATATTCAGAAATAAAGAGAGAGAGAGAGAGAGAGAGAGAGACAGAGAGAGAGAGAGAGAACAAAAAGAGAAAGAGAGAGAGAGAGAGAAAGAGAGAGAGAGAGAGGGAAACAACAAAAAGAGAAAGTGATAGAGGCACGGGAACCACACGCGGGCTGGCGTCAGCGCGACGAACGCACGGAGAACGCCGTCTGGGCGTTTTGGTGCATCATTTGGGCCGTCCTGGGGTCCTCTTGGGTCGTCCTGGAGCTTTTTGGGCCGTCTCGGGGAGCTGGGGCCCTCCAGATGTCTTCTGAAGCCATCTGGGGCTCTCTTCGGGCCTCCAGTGGCCTTTTTGAGGGTCTCCCGTGGTTTTCTTGGGTCTCTCTTGGGAGCCTACTGGGGGCATGTTGGGCTTCCTGTGGGCAGTCTCGGGGCTCTGTGGCAGTCGTGGGGACCTCTTGGGTCGTCCTCAAACCCTCGGGGGAGCCTCTGGGGCCGTCTTGGGGCGATATCGGGGGGGCCGTCTTGGGCGCTGCGAAGACCCGAAATGCGGATATGCTAAATAGATGTGTGTATATATACGATATAGATATTCCCGAGGGAAGGGGGCGATGTTTGCTTCTTCGGGGTTTTCTTAACAGCCTCTCGGGGCGTCTTGGGGGCCTCGTGGGCCGTCATCAGACCACCGGGGTTCCTCTTGGAGGATTCTTATACTTTCTTGGGCCTCCTTTGCGCTTCTCCGATGACCCCTTCTGGTCGTTTTGAGTCTGCCCGCGGGGCCCGGCAAGGCGCCCTGGGGCCAGCGGGCCTTTTCCAAAGGGCATCCTTGGGGAGGGTGTCCGGTTTAGGGGGGAGCTTCGGTTTCTTTAATGTTACCCGAACGACATCTTACAAATTAGATAGGTCGCCTTTCAACAAGCAGACAAATCGAATTCTTGGGTTTTCCTTTGAGAACGACCACTTTACAACCAGAGCAGCGCACTGTACAAACAGTCCGACCACTTTACAACCCAGACGGGGGTCTTTGCAACCAGAGCGGCCACTTTACAACCAGCCTTCAGAAACGCGCGCGCTCTGCAGGAGCTTCTGAAGCTTCTGAGCGCCTGAGCGTTTTGAAGAGGAATCCGAGCGCTTGAGCGCCCTGCATAGGCATTTAAGCGCTTGAGCGCTTTGCAGAGGCATCTGGGCGCTTGAGCGCTCTGCACAGGCTTCTGCGCGCCTGGGCGTTCTGCAGAGGCTTCTGATCGCCTGAGCGCTTTGCAGAGGCATCTGAGCGCCTGAGCGCTCTGCATTCTGAGCGCCTGAGCGCTCTGCAGAGGCTTCTGAGCGCTTGAGCGCTCTGCAGAGGCTTCTGAGCGCGTGAGCGCTTTGCAGAGGTTTCTGAACGCTTGAGCGCTTGGCAGAGGCTTCTGAGCGCCTGGGCGCTCTGCAGAGGCTTCTGAGCGCCTGGGCGCTTTGCAGAGGCTTCTGAGCGCCTCGGCATTTTGCAGAGGCTTCGAGCGCCTGGGTGCTCTGCAGAGTCTTCTGAGCGCCTGAGCGTTCTGCAGAGGCTTCTGAACACCTGAGCATTCGGCAGAGGCGTCTAAGCGCCTGAGCGCACTGCAGAGGCTTCTGAGCGCTTGAGCGCTTTGCAGAGGCCTGTGAGCGCCTGAGCGCTCTGAAGAGGTTTATGAACGCCATGGCGTTCCTTGCAGAGGCTTGTGATCAGAGGCTTCCGAGCGCCTGAGCGCGCTGAAGTTTCTACCAAGCGAGAGCAACGAGGATGAGGAGGAGGAGGAGGAGGAGGAGGAGGAGGAGGAGGGGGAGCAGGAGGAAGAGGAGGAGGAGGAGGAGGAGGAGGAGGAGGAGGAGGAGGAGGGGCAGGAGGAAGGAGGGGGGAGGAGGGGGGAAGAGGAGGAGGAGGAGGAGGAGGAGGAGGAGGAGGGGGAGGAGGAGGTGGCGACGCGGATTCAAAACGAGGACCCACAAAGCACAGGAGTGGGAAGAGCTGCGCAGGTGGGGCGGGCCGGACAGACGCAGGCACGGTTGCAGCGCGGCGCGCAGGACTGTTCATCGTCATATTTCCCCCGCTGGTCTCAAGTCGGGCCTGTCCCCCTACAGTCGGGGGAGCGTAAGACCCGGGTTTGCCAGGACTCGGGTTCGCCATCGTTTTTGACGACCGCGCCTCGGATTTTGACGAGGAGGAGTTTCGTGGGATGTCTGCAGCGGGAGGCCTCGTCAAAATGCAGGCTCGGCCTCGTCATTTTTGTTGACGACCTCGTCGGGTATTTCCGAGTCCCCTGTACCCAGGTCTTACGTCCCCCTGATACAGGGGGATTTTCAACGAAAAATCAAAAATACCCCCAGAATGATCAAGAAATAGCCCAAACATTGCATGGGGACTATTCTTTGAGTATTGTTTTGCCTGTTTGGGGCATTTTGGGGGTATTTGATTTATCTTTCGTCGACAATCCACCTGTAGGGGGACACGCCCGACATAACGCTGGTCCTTCCCTCCTCAGCCCCCTCCGTCTCCAGCTGGTCCTTTTCTCCTCGTCCTGCCGCTTCCCTGCTGCCTCCTGCCTCCCCATGAGCCGCGGCCCCGTGGGCGCCATCAAGGCGCTTCGAGGATGGTGCGCGCGCGCTGCAGGATGACGCGACGTCCGTGCGCCGTCGCTTCGAGAGCACGGCATGGCCAGATTTTCCGTCGCGCTGTGTCGGGGGGAGGCGTCAGGCCCGCGCCACCGACAGGGCGCGCAGGCGGCCCGCGATGCTGCACACATCGTGGTGGGATGCGCCCCTCCCTGCTTCCCTCTTTGTGGAGAAGTCTAAAGGGCGGCGGCAAGCTCCCGGGGGAGCGATTCTTCTGCCCGGGCGCGTGCTGCCAGAGGCGCAGATGCCCGCGCGGCCTTTGATTATCACGCAGCTGCTCGGTACAGCTGTCACACCAAGTAAGATCTCGGCCTGTCAGCAGGTGTCCCTCGGAGTTGTTTGATTCCCCGATGTCCCCGGGCTCCCGTTGGAGTTCTGGGGGCACCTCGTGGGTGCCAAGTTCGACCGAGCCCTCGAGGACTCTTGAGTACCCGGCACTGCTTATGGCAAGTCCTGCCACAGTGCCAGCCGTTTTGGTAGCACTGTTGGTGACCCCAGAGGAGGAGGAGGAGGAGGAGGAGGAGGAGGAGGAGGAGGAGGAGGAGGAGGAGGAGGAGGAAGAGGAGGAGGAGGAGGAGGAGGAGGAGGAAAGGGAGGAGGAAGATGGGAGGAGGAGGAGGAGGAGGAGGAGCAGGAGGAGGAGGAGGAGGAGGCGGAGGAGGAAGAGGAGGAGGAGGAAGAGGAGGAGGGAGACGCCATGGCCGCCCGTGTACCTCCAGAAGTAGGGGCGGTACGTGCAAGTGGGCCCGACGTGAAGGTTGAGTGGGCCCCTTAGGAGACTACGAAACCCTGCCGTGCAGCACTTGGCACCCTCCCACGCCTCAACGTGCTAAGAGGCACGGTGGCGGATTAACACGTTCTCGTAGCGCACGTGTCTGCTGCGGACCTGCCCATGGGCTGCTGACAGCCTGCGGCTCCGGGTCCGAGTCCGAGCGCCTCCCTGTTCACCGTTGACGTTTTCCAGCTAGGCCCCCTCCCGCCGCCGCGTAGGACTACTTCAAGCAGTCCACCACCCGCCTCCACTTCATCGCGGACCGCATCGTCTCCATGACCCTGGAGATCTACAAGGACCCTCCTCTCCCTCCTCCAGGGGCAGGGTGGTTCGAGGGAGAGGAGTAGAAGACAAGAAGGCGCGGGCGTCGTGGCCGCAGGTCGTCAGAACTTTGCGGCAATCATTCGAGGAGCACCTCATTACATGGGCGGCCCGCAAATTCCAACAGAACGGCTCGCATTCCTTATCATGCAGGCGACCCAAACTCATTCGTTCGCTGTTGGGTTGTAGCAGCAGGTACAGGAGACGACGAGGAGGAGGAAGAGGAGGAGGCGGACCGCTGCGCCGCCCAGGCGTTCTCTGATCGTCGCATCACTTAGCCGGCCGATCTTTTCCTGCACGGCCCACATCAGCGCCACAGTCTCTGTCCGAACGTCGAAACGAGCAGGCGGACCTGTCCATCCTCTCTCTCTCTCTCGCCTTGGTTTCTGTTCCGTCCATGGCGTCGGAGTTCGCGCCTCGGATGGCCCGCCTTCCTCCGGCCCTCCGCTTCCTCGTCTTGTGCGCCACGCTGGCGGCGCGGTCGTGGAAGTGGACCTGTCGAGACCTACGACCGCCCGCACCTGCCAGGGACCCCCCTCGCAATAGGGGGAGCTGGAGACGGAGGTCGAGGAGGAAGAGGAAGATGAGGAGGAATAGGAGGAGGAGGAGGACGAGGACGTGGACGTGGACGAAGACGAGGACGATGGGGGGGGGGAAGTAGGAGGAGGAGGAGGAGGAGGAGGACCATTGTAAACCCACGAGCCATCAACGATGTTGGAATACACCCTCCCTCCGAGCTCCCTTTTCATAGGCCCCTACAGCGGTTGATTTCCACTGAGGGATCTGCCTCGTTGGGAGACAACCGTTTGAAGACCCGGAAGCATGCCAAAACATTGTTCTCGGGATTCCAACGCCACGGATCAGCCTGATTGCTGCATCTTGACGATCCTGGATCGTGCCAGAACGCCACTCTTGGGATTTCAACACTGCAAATCAACGTAACTGCTGTACCCGCAAAATCCTGAATCCTTCCAAAACGCAATTTCTAGCACGTTGATCGTGGGAATCCGTGAGGCCCTTGCAATTGTTGAAAACGAATGTGCGCGGCGCTAAGGCTAGAGCCACAGTTTGAAAAGGAACCGCCCTCAATCCGTGAAGCTCTTGCAATTTTTTAACGAGTGCGCGCGGCGCTAAGGCGAGAGCTACATTTTGAAAACCGTCCGCCCTCCTTCTGGGAAACTGTTGCCATTTTTAAAGCTTCAGAGTCATACATGGTGAGGAAGTCTCAGGCGAAACGCCCAGCCCGCCCTCACAACTGGCCTCGGGGTGCGACAGGGAAAAGTTATCTATAAGGACACGGAATGGAGGAGGCCGAGGAGGAGGACGAGGATGATCGCAAACTGGAACATATACATCACCAGTGGCGGGTTGTTTTTCAATCCCACGACTTTTTAAGGGGCAGGGACGACGTCGGGGTGGTGTGGTGTATACTTCTCCCCCCTTTGCCAAGGGACACAACGAAAAATGTATACACCAGGATCCCGCATACACCAGAATCCGCGTTCCTGTGCGAAATTCAGCGCAGGGTCGGGAAAAGCGTCGGTGTATAGAGTTCGTTTCCCTAGACGAGGAGGAGGAGGAGCAGGAGGGGCAGGAGGAGAGGCAAAAGGGGCAGGAGGAGAAGAAAGGAGGAGGAGGAAGAGGAGGAGGAGGAGGAGGAGGCTGAGCGAGCAGCGACCTGGCCGCGCCAGCTTCGCGCCCACCCAGCGACCGGCATCCGCGAGGGGCCTGCCCCCCTCCTCGCCAGCTGCGCCGGCGCCCGCAGTTGGCGACCGTGGCCCCCCCCCACGGCAGAGGCGCGTTTGGGAGCGACCTGCTCGGGAGGGACAAAAAAAGGTTCAGAGACACACACATACACACACACACACGCACAAACACACACACACACACAGAGTCGTCGAATTTAGTGGTGGAGCCGTGGATCACTGTTGGAGATGGAGGAATCTGAGCATCTGTGCCTGTTCATCTGTTTCTCCCTGAGCCCCTTCAGCTGCGGTGAGCCTGGCGGCAGGAGGCAGCTCGGAAGAGGGATAGGTACCGATACCGCTGCCCTCGTTCCCGCCGTTTTGGATCCCCGGGAGGCCCTCGTCGCCACCGCTGGAGGCGCCTCGAGATCCTGGTCGGAGCGCACCCCGGGGAGAGCAGCGGTATCGGCACCTCTTGGTGCCCCCAGGACGGGGAGAGGAGAGAGAGCCCAGGCCCCAGATGGGGCCGAAGCAGACAGGGCCTGAGGATGGGGCCGCACGTGCGGGGAGCCTTGCGGCAGGAGGCAGCTGCGAGGAGTGGAGAGGAGAGAGAAGCGAGCCCAGGCCCCGGGGCCGAAGCAGACAGGGTCTGAGGACGGCGTCGCACGTGCGGGGAGCCTCGCGGCAGGAGGCAGCTGCGAGGAGTGGAAGGGAGAGAGAGGAATAGGGGAACAACAAGTGACATAAACATAAAAACTCGGAGGTCCGCGCGGATTTCTCGGATCGGCGCTGGGGCCCCCCGGCGGCGCCTCCGCCGCCGCCCCTGGCGCGCTCCGCGCGCCAGGGAGGGGGGTCCAGTGCCGATCCGAGAAATCCGCGCGGACCTCCGAGTTGTTATGTTTATGTCACTTTTTGTTCCCCTAAAGAGAGCCCAGGCCTCCCAGATGGGACAGGAGCAGCAAATGGGGTCTGAGGGCGTCGAGGCTCATGCAACGGGATCCGCGCTAACAGGGGTCAGCCAATCCCCTCTGGCTGACGGGGTTTGGGGACCACATAGGGCCGATTTCGCCGTTCAGCCCTGCGCTGACCCGGGCTTGGGAGCCACTGCGCGGTCGGCCAGGCTTCGCGACGGGGCCTTGGCCGACCTGGGTTTGTCCTGACCCGGGTCAGTGCTTCCCCGAGGGCGGGGACGGCAGCACAAGGCCTTCAACGGCCCTCGGCAGGAGGAGGAGGAGGAGGAGGAGGAGGAGGACAGGAAGAGGAGGAGGAGGAGGAGGAGGAGGAGGAGGAGGAGGAGTAGGAGGAGGAGGGGGAGGAGGAGGAGGAGGAAAGGAGGAGGAGGGAGAGGAGGAGGAGGAAGGAGGAGGAGGAGGAGAGGAGGAGGAGGAGGAGGAGGAGGAGGAGGAGGAGGAGGAGGAGGAGGAGGGGGAGTTGGAGGGGCCGCGATCTGGAGCCCGCTCTGCCCCCTCCCGCCGTCTACGGTGCGTCGCCGCCGCATCGGCGAGGCGGCGCGATCCTCCGGCTCCAGAGGCAAGATGGGTGCACTCGCGCCACATCTAATGGAGGATGACGATTAATAAGTGACCGGGGGTCGTGTTCACGCGGCGGCGCCCGGGATGACGATTAGAAAAAACTGGCCGCGGGCTGGAAAACTATTGTTTAATCGTTCTCTTCCAGTCAGAAAATTTGTGCAGAAATAGCAGAAAACAATTGTTTAAATCGTTCTCTCTTTTTTTATTCATCGTCATCCCGCATTAGCAGTAAGTCGGGCCTGTCCGTCTACAGGAGGAATATTCAAACAAATCAGTCCAAAAATAGTCTTGGGGCGATTGTTTGACATTTTTTTTAGTATTGTAATGCATTTTCGGACTAGTTTGAATTTGTCGTCCCAAGTCGGCCTGAGGGGGGACAGGCCCGACTCAAATCTAACATTATACCCCTCCCGATCCCTTCTCACTTCGCGGGATTATTTTCTATTCTCCGACGGAGGTATTCCTTTTGGGTGTGTTTGCTGCATTGGTGTCAGTTGCAGGATTTGGCCCATCGTTTGCTGCTCAATCGGACGGGGGCTTTGCCACATAGGTGGGAGGAGGAGCAGCAGGATGCTGATGATCCGGAGGCGAACAAGGATGAGGAAGATGATTAGGAAGGAGGGGCAGGAGGAGTTGGAGGAGCAGGAGTTTCATGGCAAGGCGGAGGAGGGGAAACGAGGGGGGCGGCAACTGGGGGCCTCCTCGAGAGCGCAGAAGGACACAGAACAACTAGAAGGAGGAGGAGGAGGAGGAGGAGGAGGAGGAGGAGGAGGAGGAGGAGGAGGATGGGGAGGGGAGGGGGTGGGGGTGGACGACGACGACGACGACGATCACGACGACGAGGTGGAGAAGGTGGTGGAGGTGGTGGAGGAGGAGGAGGAGGAGGTCCTCCATCCCAGCTGCTCCATGCCCTCCGCAGGGGAAGGCCGTACCGCACGGGTCGCCTTTTCCAGACCTCCCCCGAGAGGACCCCAAGAAGATGGTCGAGGACATATCCGCCCTCGGTCTTCGGCACGTTGGCTACGGGATCCCGACGGAACTGTTCGGACCGTTCGTGACCGCCTGCGTGCAGGTCGTGCGTGGTTTGACCGAGGACGACCAGGCTGAGGAGGCTTTCCGATGGTCGCTCAGCCTCATCTCTCGCATCCTCACGCGTGTGATCACGGAGGGCTCCACGATCGTCATGAAGGCCATCAACATGAACAACGGCTCGCAGGTGCGCAAGGCCGTGGGCTGCGCGCCGCGCGGCAAGCGTGCCATGTGGATGCTCAACATTCAGGTGAGCAGCGCGAAACAACGGGGTCGACTTGTCGAAATTGGCGCGTGAGTTGCCCGCGTAAGGTCGCGCGTGAGCGCCCTCGTCTCCAATGCAGCCTGCCGCGCGGGCGGCCCGCGGAAGCCGCCGCGTGAGGTCGGTCCGTCGTCTCGCGTGGGACGCGTTTTGATCGTCTCTCAGGTGGGGACCCAGTCGATCTCGCCACTCCTGTGGGCAATCGAGACGGGCAGCCTTGACGCAGCTAGAGCGATCATCCAGGATCTCCTCACGATCAGGGCGGACAGGGACCGGTACTACTACGGCATGGATTCCATGTTCGAGCGCCACGAGGACATCGTGAAGCGCCTCTGCATCGATGCCCCGGCATTGCTTCCCACACTCCTGGATGGGCTTGTGTGGCGCTCGCGCACTACGGAGAATGGTACCCGACGGGTCAACTACTACATCAAGCATCTCATCATGGACAGCGCTGGGAACTTCTCGCAGGCGGTGGAGTGGGTCACGGACAACGGTGATCCCAAACTCGTGTGCCACCCGATCGTAGCGATTGTAACTGACACCGTTTGGAGCCGCATTGCATTCCGGATGTTCTTGATGAACAAGTCGTGGGTGCTCGTCACCCTGTGTGTGTTCATAATCGGCACTGGAGGGCTCAAGCATGCGAACAAGGGGGGCAAGGACGAGACAGAACGCATCGTCGTGTTTGCTTGCCGATGCTTCATCTACCTGCTGAGCTTGGGGCAGTGGCTGTACTACCACATGAAAATGGCGTGCCGCGACGTGCGTTCCAAAACCTTCATCAAGTGGGGTCATTTGCCACTGCCAGCCTACCTTGAGAATTACCAGGACTGCGCTAGCCTTCTCCTGACTGTACTCCTTCTGGCTATGCTCGCCTGTGAACCGATCTTGCACTGCTTCCCGCACAAGGACGAAGACTTCGATGGGGCAGGGCTGTTCACGGAACATTGCCCCCAGGCAAGTGACATCGTCTCGGTCTATTCACAGTTGAGCGCGGTCGCCACCATCATGTATTTCACCCTCATACTCGACCTCTCGGTGTTCTCCACGAGGATCTCCGCGTTCGTGCTGGTGTGCTACCGTGTCCTGTCGGAAGTGCTTCTGTTCATGTTCGGGCTAGCCTTTGTAGTCCTGGCGTGGAGTTGCGCGGTCAGTGCCTTGGAGCAGGACAACGACGACTTCAACGGCATCCCCACCTCCGCCCTGTCGCTGCTGAAGATTGCCCTCGGCATGTACAGCGGCACGGCGTTCCTCAGGCTCCACGAGGAGGCGATGCTCCTGATCGCGGTGGTGATCTACGTGATAGTCAGCGCGGTGTTCAGGGGCGCTGAAAGTGGGAGGGAGGAGGGAGGGAGGAGGAGGAGGACTGGGCTCGGGGGGGACGTCGGTCCTTGATCGCCCCTCGTTGCCGATGCGGGCTCTGAGTGCCCCTCCCTGCCCGAGAGGCGCGCTGTTTCGCCATCGGGGTCGCCTCGTCGACCTCTCGGCGATGCCTCGTCGATTCCAGACTCGTGTTTTCTCTCTCCCTGAGCCGACGCTCCCCCGAGGTGTTCTTGCTGAACATGCTCATCGCGCAGCTCAACTGCTCCTACCAGGCGACCTACCTGGACATGGTTGGGTACGCCCGCCTGAACCGCGGCAAGATCGTGACCGAGGCCATGTCGGTGGTCACGGAGAAGCGCTGGAGGTGGCTCGCCCTCCGTTGCGCTTGGAAGAGGGGGGGGGAGGAATGTGAACAGGGTGAGGAGGAGGAGGAGGAGGAGGAGGAGGGGAAGGGGGATTGCCAAGTACGCTGTAGGCTGATCTGGTACATAGACCATCATTGAGGGCTAGGCGTCTGCAGTTGGTCCGCCGCCCAAACATACATAGTTCTTGACAGCAGGTCGCACCCGTGAAGTCGCGAGCGTAGCCGGAACCTTGCCACAAGTGGCTCACGGGAATCTCCCATCAATGGGTACGGGGGACCCTATGGCCCTCATTGGGGTAAGATGGTTGCACACATGGTGCGACCGCCCAGGTTTTCAGCGACCCCTCGTTGGTGTCGGCCATACTTCGAGAAAGCCCAGCGGCCGATGAGGATTTTCCACGGGTGGGGATAACATCCATAATCCGATCTCGGACGTTACGGCCATGCGACGAGAAAGCTTTGGGGTTTGACTTTCGAGTAGGCCTTGAAGCTTCATGCGCATGTGGGGGGGCAAGTTGCCTGCGGAATGTCGCTGGTGAATACGCTCCGCAGCGGGCACGTGCGCCTGTTTGTAATCACCGCGCGCGCTGCCCTCTTCCCGCTCTTCGACCTTCTACGCCTAGACGCTGGGAGCGAGGCCGCGACGCAAAAAGTGCGTGTGTGTGACCTCACCCTTGCCATTCTGGCTAGGCTTAAACTTATCGGTGGTATGGCACTCCCTCCACCACCAGACAGCAACGCCCTCCTCCTCAAACTTGCTTCAATATTAGGGTGGATTACGATTTGCAGAGAACTGAAGTATACACGTGGTGTACCATGGCACGAAGTTGGCAACACCAACTCCTGGTGACAATACGTGTAACGATACGAAGTCCTTATGTCCCCTTACCCACCTTCCAACCACCCCGACCCACCACCACCCAGCCACCCGCCCCATCAACCAGATACCCCACGCAACAGAAGAAATGACCGACGGACGAGGAGGCGCATTGAGAAAGGCTACAGCTCGACCTAAAATATTGGGCCGCGACTACGGGTACACGGGACACGCGCGCGACAGCACACACGGACAAACGGTGCGCAAGCATGAAGGACGACGTTGCCGACTTTTCTGTGACCCTGGATTCTCGCATGGTATGTTTCTTCTTGGTATGTCTCTTCCTGGTATGAATCTTCCTGGCCAGCGTTGCTCCTCCCCTCCTCCGGGTGTCTCGTGCACGCCGACCCCTCTCGTTCCTGGCCGTGTGTTAAAAGTGGTGTTTGAGAGTCAGGCTGCTAAGCCTATCCACTATAACATACGCAATCATGATTTATCCTCGGATCAGGTCAAGGATATGTGCGACCATACCGAGCGAGATCGGACGTTTGCAGAATCGTCTCCAGAATCTCTTTTGCAAGTGGCGCACGGCGGTTTTTGACTTTGCGAGTGAAGAAAAGCTGAGCTTCGCGCAGCCGTCGGAGTCTGAGAGGATTGTCAGACCCCATCATGCCCAGGCCCCGCGTTGGTCCACGACGTTAGACAAACTTGTGGAAGTCTCTGCCGCTGCCGCCACGCACTGACAAGGGCGCCGATGCCGTTGCTGCCATTGATCGCTTCTGGTGTTCCTGGTCTGGACGGGTTCTTACTCAGGTTTTCGCTTCTCCTCGTGTCGAGGGCGCCCCCGAAGTACTCCATCGCACTAAGATCAGTGACCACGCTGCCCTCATCATCGCCATGTGCCAGAGGAAAGAACCCCCAAGCCCCGACGGAGCGCCCCATACCTAATCATATATGTGCTTAGCCTGTCTTCAAATCCATCTTAGCGAAGTTCGTGGGGATTGAGGAAGCGTCATTGTTGTTGATGTGTCCGCCCAGGCGCCTGGCTAGATATAAGTTCCTCATGCAGGAAGACAGCAGAGAAGCACGTGACATGCTCATGGCCCGTCGGACCCTCGCGCGCTGCTTCTTCTGGCACGCGCTCTTTCTCGTGCTATATGGCGCCAGGACGTCCCGTCGGCGGTGCGTCTGCTTGGCTCTCACGCTGCCGCAGCCGACTTTGTCCGCATTGATGGCCATCGTGTTTCGCTTGTGCACCCAGCGGCGTTCCAGCGCTGGACAAACGAAGTGCTAATACGCGCTGCCAATCTTAATCGCGCCGCTGCTCGCGCCAGACTTGAGGAGGCGGAAGGAGAAGGAGGGAGACAGAAGGAGAGGCAGCAACTACAGGCTATTGGGAGGAGAGCACGGATATGGGCCCCCTTCGCTCGTCGTCGCGCTCTTCGTGCCGTGGTCGTGGATGGTCTTAAGGTGAAGGAGGTGGCGGACAGGCGCAAAGCCTTGGCCTCGCACTGGGCCCCCATTTTTTCTCGTTCCCCCTGGTCCGAGAAATCTGCCAAGTCGCACTGCGCCCGCTTCGCGGACCCCGTCGACTTCTCAGATTGCCAGCCCCCGACGCTGGAGACGATGAAGAGAGTTGCATTTCGTGTCAGTGATTCTGCCCCAGGCGTGGATCGCCTATGCGACGCGGCCTGGCTGGCCCACCCGAGTAGCCTGCTGCTTTTGCGCGACGTCCCGCTGTGGACGTTGGCGGGCAATGGCCTTTTCCTCGAGGAGAGCATCACCCTCCAGGCTTTCTTGCCGAAGGGCGAGGCCAGCACGGACACGAGAGGGCGAATGCGAGAGAGAGGCCCCATCAGTACGTGTGATTGGTATACGCAACATTAGCATCAAGCTCTTGACGGCGACAGTGAATGTTGCCATCCAGCGGCCCCTGGCCCGCTTCGTCCCTGCTGACCAATCTGGGGTCATGAAAGGTATGAACTTTCGCACGAACATCTCAGAGGTTGACGCGCTCTCTCGTGTCCACTCGTCGGCGCCCGAAGCCGACCACCTGTGCCCCGTGCGTGCTCTACGCGCTGGACTATGGCCACACGTTCCCCAGCCTTTCGCAGGAGTTCGTGCTCCTCGTCCTCTCGCGCATGGGGTGTCCAGTCCCGCTGCTGTGCTTCGTCTCGTCTCTGTATGACTGTATCCAGGGAGTGGTGTCGGTCCAGGGGCTCCTTATCCACGCGTTCTGGATTCGTTCTGGCATTATCCAAGGATGTGCTCTCTCGGGATCGCTTTTCGCTGCTGCTTTATCGCCGGCGCCATTGGACACCCACCGCTGCTTCGAGACCCCGCGGGAGGGGATCAACTGGGCCTGTGCCGATGACCTTGGAGGGGCGTTGGCAGACTTGCGCATGTTATTGCAGCTGCGCCGAGTGATGAGAGCTGTCGAGATCGTGGCCCACTTGTACCTGAAAGCCCACAAGTGTGTGATCACCCCTGTCTCAGGCCCCTTCACCCCCCAGCTGAAGTCCCGCGTTCAAAGTTTCCTGAACACGTTCATCCCCGAGTGGGCCTCATTCCGCATCGAGCCAGAGCTCTTCTACTTCGACATTTGGATTGGCCCCTCGACAGTGCTCGAGGGCTCTTGGCAGCTACCCCGTCAGAAGTATCGGGCCCGCGCAGCGGCCGTGGGCGCTGGCAGTGCCCCTGCCTCATCGTCGTCGGTGTTGCACAGTGCGCGTTGCACGTCGGTGTTGAGCTATATCATGCAGTTTTTGCCCGTGCCTGTGATGATGAAGGAGGCGGAAAAAAGTGCTTTGGCGCAAGCCTTCCGCCTGCCCCATGGCGCTCTTGGTGTTCGAGAATGGGCGCAGCTGAAAGACTGGCACGGCCCCAAGGTTTGCCCGCTCGAGATCCTCAGCATCGCCCGGCCCGCTCGGACCGCGATCGTGACCCTCCCCGACTGTGAACGCATCTGCCGTTGGTTGGTGAAAAAGACCGACACCCCCCACCCCCGTGAACTCGACGAGCGCCTCGTGTCGGAGATTTTCCCTGGACGTCGTTACCCACCGCGCTGGAAGTGCAGGGCTTTTGTCGAGCACTTGCACGACGCCGCGGTCGGCGACGCCAGCCCCGTGCATGCTGCTGCTGCCCGAGCTTGCCGTGGAAATGAGGTGAAGCCCCAGCGCTTCGCCAAAATTGCATGCCTGAGTTGTTGGCCAAATGATGCACTGCCCGCTCTGTGCACTCGTCGCCTCCTGAAGTGGTGGCCAGACCGTGCCGCGACGATAGCCGCCACCGATTGGATCGCCACCCGTGAGCTCCTGAAGTCGTCCCCCCCCCCTCCTGGCCCTGGGCATGGCAGCGAACGATGCGCGGAGGCTGGCTGACATCCCACCGTATTTTGAATGGGCAAGGCCGTATAGGATGCATTTTCGGTTGTGAGCATGAGTTAGACAAACAGTGTCACTATGCCTCGTGTCCCAGGCTCGCCATGTCAATTTCTACTGCGCTCAGAAAGTCGTTGGTTGTCGTCCGATCCTCTCGCTCGATGGGCCATCCCAAGTTGCACCGTCCAGATTCTTGAGGAAGTGTCCTTAGCTCACCACATTTACCACTCCCTCCACCACCTCCCCTCTTCCTCCCTCTCGAATCCAACTGTAGACCTCGACGCGGCCTATGCTGCCCTGCGGGGGCTGCACCTGGCGGCGCCGCTTCAGGCGCCGCCCTGGGCAGGTAGGGTAGGGGACGTCGTCGTCGTCGTTATACGCTGACCTCCTCCGCCTCCTCCTCCTCCGCCACCTCCTCCGCCTCCTCCCCCTCCGCCTCCTACCCCGGGGATGGGCTACCTTGTGGCCCAGACCTCGACGCGCAGTCCGCGTGTCTCCGCGCTCCCGCGGGCGGCCCCGCCTCCGCAGCACGGGGCCGCAGCCGCGGTGGTGCGCGCGCGGCGCGGTGGCTCGTCCGCTCGCGGCCTCCTGCCGCGCAGACCAGACCAGCCCAACCCAACCCGAAGGCCCCGATGTGCCCTCCATTGCCAGTGGGGGGGGTCGGGAACATTGAGAACGCACAAACACACATACACACATACACACGCACACACACACACACACACGCACAGAGTGAGAGAGAGAGAGAGAGAGAAAAAAAAAAGAGAGAGAGAGCGAGAGAAAGAAAGAGAGAGAGAAAGAGA